AGTGACTGACCTACAAACTATTCAGGTACCCGCGGGACCAAAGTTTGAAGGCGGCAATGTTCTTGAGGCAGAAGTAGAGTTTTTCCAATGTATTTGAATCTCATGCACGGAGAAGAAAGAATGCCAAATATCTTACAATTAGATCTGTAGGACCGTCCCTACAAACTACTCGGGTACCCGCGGGACCACAGTTTGCAAGCGGTAGAGTTTTAGGCGCAGAGGTACAATTTTTCCAATGTCTTCGATTTTTATGCTGGGAGCAAAAATAGAATGTCAAATATCTTCAATCTGTAGGAAAAATTTTTGCGAGAAGTCTTTTGTGTAAAAGTGACCTACCCTACAAACTATTGAGGTACCCGCGGGACCACAGTTTGCAAGCGGTAGTGTTTTGGGCGCAGAAGTATAATTTTTCCATTGCCTTCGATTTTTATGCTCGGATTAGAAAATGGATTTTATAATGTCTTCGATCTGTTTGAAAATTATCAGGAGAGATCTTTTATGTATAAGTGACCGACCCTACAAACTATTCAGATCCGCGGGACCACAGTTTGCAAGCCTCAATTCTCGAGGCAGAAGTATGATTTTTCAAATGTTCGATTTTTATTCAAAACCACGAACGATTTTTTGTGTAAAAGTGGCCAATCTTTCCCAGCGTAACAAAAGTTTGCAGTTGCAAAATTCTGAAAATTCAAATATAAGTAACCAGGAATACATGAAGATCGACTGAAAGATGCCTTCTGTAAAATTCTGGTGTAGAAATTGCCGAGTGTTTGTCCAGATAGACTGAACTTGCGTGTAGCAATTGTTCGTGAAAGAGTAGGAGTTCTCAAAAAATTTTCAACGTCAGATTTTTAGGTAAAGAAAAAAGCTGAATCGCGAAATATATCTGTAAAAGTGTTCCAGCTCCTTTGTAATGAAGGAATTTGTACACCGCTTTTCTTCAACGTTGAATTTCTGTTCAAGGAAATTCTCTCAAATGGGCATTTCTCATTGAGTCTCTTGAGGGAAAATATCCTTTGAAACGCTCCTTCATAGAATTCGTTCAACCGTCTTTTCCGTGAGACCAGTGCTTGTTCGCCATATTTGTTTGTAGAACACAACTCAAATTCTTCCATAAATGCACCCAGGCATCGAATTTTTCAATAAAGTCAATGAAAACAAATGGAGGTATTCTCTGTTTTAAAATGTGTCCTGAATATTTTCTAGCTTGTTAGCTTGACCAAAACTTGTTCTATTATAAATGCTTTCAATCTTGAATGCGGCGTGCGATTAGCAGCTTTGATATTTTGGTCAGAATAGAAAGAGATAAAGTGAGAATTGTCGTATCTCTCATTTTGACTTCTTTTCAGAATGTGAAGGTCACTTGTATAGATTGCAATTCTGACATGATCTGAGCAATGTATCAATCCCAGCAAATTCCTGACCCCTAATGTATGATCATCCTATTGTGTTAATGTTCAAAGCACGCATGGCTGGCTCGGTTTGCAAAGATCAACTATGATGAGTCAGCTCCTGGCGTGATCAACGGTCTAGACATGTAAATTGGCTGACCCGTCCTAACTTACTACGAAGAGCAAGCGCGATGAGTCAGCATCCATTGTGGTCGACGGTCGAGTATTGGTGCTATTCCAAGGATCAGTTAACAGCAGTCATCGCCAAATTCCCACAATTTAATATCTAGGAGCCTATTATATGCCAAGCGAAGTGCATCTAACTCTATTAAAATCAAACATGTATATAGTCTAACAAAAATTTCTTGACAAATAAAAGTTGCGATGCGATCTAATGGCAGTGTGCCTAGTGTATAAATGCTCAAGAACTGCACAGCTCAGTGAAAGTTACAAAATTTTGATTCCAAAATAAATGTGTGGCGGAATTGCATTTGAAAGCTGAGCTAGTTTACGCGTATTATACAGGGTGTCCGTAAAGTATGTATGCACTGTTTGAACGTTAATATCTCCGTTCCCAGGGGGTCTTTTGCCGAGCTTTAAGCACCATACTGTAGAGCTGGCTTCAACTTAGATCTACAGTATAGAGCGAATCAGCGATCACTCACTGTTACTGTAGGATTACGGTAGAAACTTGAAACATATGGTGTCAATGTGGAAAAAGCTTTCGTTTCAAAATTTTTCAAAAAAATGTGAAAACTTGTGTAATAGGGTTTTTATGGACCCTGAGTTCAATACTCAACTATTCACAAGATTGCGAAGCTTTCTAAACGGTGTAAACGCACTTTTTAGAAACATTGAAAAAATGGCCGCTACCTCTTACCTGGCATAACTCTTCAATGAAGCATCATAATAAGTTAGAAACTTCACAATTAGAATAAGCAATTCTAATTAGCCTAGTGTAGAAGTTTTCAAGCTGTTTTGTTTCCTTTCTGAGGCAAAATATGGCCTTTCATGGCTCAAAACCCTCTTTGATGTTCCTACCGTAATCCTACAGTAATGAGAGGAGACCGGCGATTCGCTCCATACTGCGAATCTAAGTTGAAGCCAGCTCTACAGTTTGGTGCTTAAAGTTCGGCGAAAGACCCCCTGGGAACGGAGATATTAACGATCAAACAGTCCATACATACTTTACGGACACCCTGTATTATATCAAAACACTTCTATTGAATAACATTAGAGTTCCCAGCGAATTCGGCAGCTGTCTTGATCCCTAGTATGACCATCCTATAGTGTTAATGTTTAGAGTATGCATGGCTGGCTCGGTTTGCAAAGATCAACTATGATGAGTCAGCTCCTGGCGTGATCAACGGTCTAGACATGTAAATTGGCTGACCCGTCCTAGCTTACTACGAAGAGCAAGCGCGATGAGTCAGCGTCCATTGTGGTCGACGGCCGAGTATTGGTGCTATTCCAAGGATCAGTTGACAGCAGTCATCGCCAAATTCTCAAAATTTTCGCTATTATCTGGGAGAATATTATACACTACCAAGCGAAGTGCGTTCAACTCTACCAAAATCAAACATGTATATAGTCTAACAAGGATTTTTTGGCAAAAAAGTTGTAATGCGATCTAATTATATTATATTAAAAAACTTCATCTTCCATTAGATTGACATGGGGAGCAGGATCAGTTCGCTTATAAAGTCATCTGAGAGGCCGATAAACAGAAGCTCATGTATTTCTGCTAATAAGATAAGTTTTGGAACTGACCAACGTGAATCTAGTTGTGATTATTTGCGTCAATTTTCATCAAAAAGCTCTAACTTAGTCTTGAATCAGAAACAGGTTGTCCCTAAGAACGTTTTGGAACTTAATCATCAAAAATAGGTGTTTCTTTGCCACTGTCATGAAACATAACGTATCAACGGCACAGCTCGGCAAAAATCTGGCCAAATTTTGTAAACGAAATGATTTCGTAAGCAGAGGTGTGGAACTAAGAGGCTGCTGACTGTCTGTATGCCAGATCAAAAAGCTTCAGCTCCCATCAAAGTGGTAAAAATAGGGAACGTGGACATGAATGATGGTTTTTGTGACATTCAAGAAGGCAACGAACAAGTATTTGCGGAGCAAGAAAAGCGCAAGCAGTGATTGGAAGTATTAGCACCATTGCACAATTTGCTACATACAACGGAAAAGTGCTTGATACCCCCTTCTCCTTGAGTTGCTGAGCTTTAGAAAGAACGCCAGTACTGTGTGGCTGTACAGCTGCGAATGCCACCCGGGGAGACCACGCCCCCAAAATTCTCTGCGGTCGAGCTCGCTCCTCACTTCGTGCGTGTTCTACTTCTGGCGAAACGCCGCCCACAAACCGCTTTCGATGTTATATTATATAGTGATATGTCTCTCTTGTATTTCGTGCCCTTTGCACCATGTCATGTTTATGTAATGATAAAATCTTAGTAATTACTTGTGTGCTATAGAGAGAAGGAGTCACTTAAAGAGAGGTCATATATGTAAGCGTTACTGGACAAAGTCGTCTTAACAAACATAAATCTTTTATTTTATTACATGGAGGTTCCGCACTGGGTTTTCTAATTTCTGAAGCTCAGCAAAAGAACTCACATTTTTCATATACACGCGCATGTCACAACTACGCCCTTTTAACGCAAGGCCAACATGAATATTATGTGACAGGAGCTTCTGCTCCACATATTTACACCTTTCATGAGCGTAGGAAAAGCCTGGCCAGGTAACTAGCGACACCCTTGCGTATAAAATTAACTCATCTTCAAGTGATCGCATTAATAGCGCGCAGAATATTCTAAACACATCATAACTATAGCTTATACAATAAAAGCACACCTCTCTTCGAAACTTCATAATTCGACCCCGCTCCTTCCTCTTCACACAATCTCTTCCTCATTCGCCAATCCCTCTCGTGTCGTATAGCTAATCCTCCCTTTTAATTACAGAACTACTCAACCTTACAACTAGCTCTAAAATGAATGCTCAAACGTTAATTGCGAAAATCCACAAGGCGCTCCTCGAAGACGATTACAAAATGAGACACCAAAGCTACTACGGAAAAGCGCCCCGCGATATGTGGAAAACACAACCGAAATCCAACATCCTCCGTCTCAGCTCGATAATGGAAATAATTCACGACGACAGATGTCACAGGATTCCCGCAGAACTCATGAACAGCTCGCTGCCTGACATTCTGGAAGTAGTCATTCGAGCCTTCGACGGACATACCGGAACCTATCTGGACGAAATGAATACAATAACGCTACTACCGGTCCCCATCAGTAAGCATTTCTGTTATTGCGATGCCTGCCCCGTAGGAACGACGGTGCTCAACCATGCATATGAGGCCTTCTCCGAATTGCCAAAAAGACGAGATGCCTCGGTAGCGAAGCTTGGACAACAAGGCAATGAAGTATTCTTAACCATGGAGCAAATATGGCTGCTGATCCCCCTGGACACCACCTTTACCGAAGAAGATGAACAAATGATAGCGAAAAGACCAGAGGGGAAAAGATATATTCTCTGCCATATCAGCCCAACTATCACCCTCACTTCCAAATACACCGATGCGAATCTCTAACGGATTGCTGTGCCGACTGCCACCGCTACTACGGCCTCGACAACTATGACAGCGATTTCTAGACGATTATTGAGGGCAGCAGACAATATAACAAAGGTAATCTTAAACTAGTTCTAAAACCCGAGCAGGGCTGACTACTAAAAAAACATTACTTGCATACGTTCTCCTATCACACATATGCAGACACAATTATGATTATCCCAAGTGAACTCCTAGGATAGCTCTCGAGTCAAATTACCAATTTTAACCAATGTACAAGTCCTACTTGTGTCATATAATAGCTAGATTCCGAAACACTGCAACAATTACTTTTTATACGACCTTATACATTGCCGAATTTATATTCTCAAAAAAATTTAGTTCCGCTTTGCCATCTTGCGACCGTAGTCCGCCGTTCCTCGAAGCCAGCCTCGTTACACATGCCTCGCCACGCGCCATTAATCAGCAGCGCGAAAAAGATCGCAGGTCAAGTCGCCGCGAGCTCATTAGTCTTGCTGCCCGACCACCCAGTTTTTGGCCGACCAGCCTACGCGGAAGCTCGCTTCTCAGAAACCTCATTAGTCTTGTAAAGACCAACTCAGCCAGTCACGAGGAAAAGGCAAAGACCATCGTCCACGCGCTCAAGCCAGCTGCCCTGCGTAGTAATTCTGAGAAAGGCTAAGAACCAGGGAAGACACGCCCTAGCCGTACAATATATATACACTCGACAAGCACACTCACGGTCCATAGCTGCCAGAGCACCCACTCCGACAGCTTGCTACTTCAGCATTACCATAGCCTACCTCGCATTCTCAACTACCGTTATCCAACTATCAATCTATTCATTCAACAGCCATCCAACTCAGCCACTGAAGTAAGTCTCAGAACACTTACACTCAACATACCTTCGCAAAATAAGAAGAGAACTTTCGCCATATCCGTTCTCTTGTGTAGAGTGTTGTTGAGAACTTAGCCTTGTTGCTCTCTATCCATCTTCAAAGAGGAAAAATCAGACTCCCTAACTCCCCTTGAAAAAAAAATATACACACACGCACATTAGTTACTGACACTTAGGAAAACATTTTGACTGATCACCAAAATTCCTCCCAAGGAACAGAAACCCAAAGTACGTGAAGAATTAAGTAGATCCGAAAGGCTTAAAAGATTTGACGAAAGAAGAGCAGCATTTCTCGCAAAACTCGCTGAGCGTAGACAGCAGCAATCATCTGCAAAAGCTGAGGAAACTCCAACAACTTCTAGACGTAGAGTAGAACCTAGCGACAAACCTTCCACTAGCACAGTAGACCCGCGCGATTTACCGTCCACTAGTCAAGAAGAATTTGCTAGCGACCAAGCTAACGAAGTAGGAACAAGCGATCAGCCTTCAACCAGCCAGACGGTATCTGGTTACGTAACCCCAGCGACAACCCCAGCAACACTAGAGATCTAGCTCTCATTCTATCATTACAGCCCCTAAAACGATAGAAAGCGCGCGCTTGTCAAATATATTGTGACGACCGTAACGTAACGCTCGCAAAACTGGGAAAAGAACGCAAAACCCCGCGTATAACGCAATCTAACGTAGATCGTCCTTCTACTAGCGAATTAGAACCCCCGGAAGATTTTGAATACCATTCCGTAGACGAAAGTAATCCCAACTTCTCTCTCGACGTAATTAACGAACTTCGAGCCGTAATCAGAGACTTTCAAGACCGGAAAAAGGCAGCAAAGGAGCGAGAACGACGTGCCAACATGCCCAGCGCTAGCGTACAAACCAATGCGAACGCACCTGTATTCGAACGCCTCGAAATTTCTCAGCCAAATTTATATGCCTCAAGCAAACTTCTAGGGACCCGCTTAGAAAGATTTACCGGCGACGGTGAGAAAACATTTGAAGAATTTCTCGACGACTACAAAGAATTGGTAGATAGCCTACATATTCCCCACGCATACGCGAAAAGTCTACTCCCCCTATTTCTAGGAGGTGGAGCTAAGGTAAAACTCCAAACCCTAACAGACCAAGAAAAGGAAACTTGGGATTCTATGGTTTTGGCCCTAGCTAAAAAGTTCAAAAACGAAGCAATGCTCAGTAACGTCCGCGACGAATTACACCATCTTAGACAAGGAAAGGATTCCGTAGGAACGTTTGCGAAAAAGATCCTAGCAAAAACTAAAGTAGCGTACCAAGGTGAGGACAAGACGATTCCTAACAAATTAGCCATCGACTTTTTCATCAAAGGTCTAAGGCCCGACATCCGCAGAGCAATTCGCAGACTCCCGGATCCTAAAGACTTTGAAACCGCACTCGCAAATGCTGAAAAGGAGCAAAGAATTCTTGAACAGGAATATCGCGAAGAAAAAGAGATCCTGGAAAGCATAAATAATTTGGTGTTAGATGCAAAAGTGGACGAATTAACTAGCCAAGTAAACAGCCTTCAGCAGTCAAGTGGAAATCCCTCAAATAGAAATCCCTCCAGAAGTCCTACCCGAGACCGTCCTCGTCCCACGGTACGCTTCAATGTGCCTCCGCGCCAAAACCCCAATTTCCAGCAAAGACGAACAGTAACACCGTATCGTCCCAGACCAGCATTACGAGTCAATCCCCCGCGCCAGTTACGTTTCGTTCCTAGAAGATTATTTCCAAATCCTCGATTCTGGGACCGCCGCCCAACTAACACGCCATTCCGATACTTCAACCAGCCCTACACACCATATCCTGCATACACTCAGCCAATACCTTACGTAAATCCCAATCAACCTTTCGCCCCAGCCATAGCGAACCCCCCGGCCTACTATCAAAACTATCAGCCATCAAACCGACTTCCTGCACCTGCGCAGAATGTTAACTTCCTCTGCATAATAGCCATCATAGCAGCATGTCTGCTAACACCTACAACATCTTTCCAAATATGCGGAAGTAGTTCATTCCCTAATATACTCTCACTGCCCAAATTAGTGCAATGCAGCGTAACCCCAGAAGAGCCTATGATTGAAACACAAATACAGTTATTTGGCGAAAGCAACAAACCTTTACAGATGACTGCCCACAAATGCTATCGAGACGTACTAAAAGTCTCTATACACAATTTCCTCTACATGAGAACCAGCCGCACCGTAGTAGGACGCCAGCGCCTATCCATCTCACGTGAAGAATGCGAATTAGCAAGGACCACCAATTCCATCCATGGACACCCTCTCACCGAAGTTTCTCCTGGTCTCAAAATAACCAAAGAGATAGAGGACGAAAAAACGTCTCTCCCTCTTTGGGGAACAAACCTGTACTTGCGTAGTCTATATTCAATCGAGGAAGGACAGATTGCCTCCATGAACGGCGAAACTATGCTTAGCACCCTGGGAAATCTGAACAACTGTTCCTTCCCCGACGGTAGCTGTCTAACACCCAACGAGATAATAATCTGGAAACCCGTAGAAGTTGTTCCATGGTGTAGATTCAATTCCATAGGTAGCTACGATGCATTGGTCAGCATGAAATACATCCTCATACCTGAACACGAGCTAGCATTCGAATTCAGTAGTGACCACCTACTCCGCTCGCAACTATTACGACATTGTAGTATCAGTAACAGCTATCTGACCACATCGAATCACATCATCTCCTTCCCGAATATTCCACCCAATACCATGGTCCAGGATTTTATTTTGGAATCCTCACCAACGTTCAAAACGAAGCGTGAAGTTAAATACCTCGTTGACACCGAAAACAGACAATCACGCTACGAACTCATACCGGCACAAACTCTTCCGATAGCTCAAAGGATCTTCGGTATCACAGATACCGAGGGGACACCACCATTTGAGGCTCAACCAATTACCGATGTTCTTCTACTAAGAGAAATCAAACTTTGGAACATTACCAACGCCGATTTCCTCCGCAGAGCCCGCATGTATGCCATCGAAGACATACGTAAGAACGTCCTTCGTACCATACGATACGCCGAATATCGGTACCGCCAGATAGCCTGGCTACAAGCCATTGAGACCAAAAGACCCCTAAACTACGCCGAGCACGCACTACTCCAAGACCTGCAACTCGGTATCACCGATGTGTTCGACGACTACCTATCACAAGAATTTGGGAAAATACAGATGGAGATTGACATGGACCCAATCAAACTTAAAAGTAAGCCTGCGCCATTCTTCCGAATGGAAGACTTGAGTAAGGTGAATGTCACCAATCAGATAGAAGCGGACCCATACGCACAAACAGAGCGATCAACTACCAGCACTTCTACTAACCAGTCCACAACGAAACCTCCGCCATCAACCACGACATTCCCAGCCACCAACCCGCCACCCAAGAAGACTGCAACCACAGCGATGACCCCAAGGCCTACAATTACACCCCCTGCCGTGACCAAGCCGCCTGTGGTTATACCATCTTACGTGCAGAGCATCTCTAAAGCAAAATCACTGGATCCCATTGAACTTCACATAACAACCATAACCACACCTACTACTACCCCGGCGACACAGCCGAGGATAACAACAACCCCTGTTCGCACTACAACCGTACGTCCTACGACGAAAATCACTGCCCCTTCATATACCATAACCACTACAACGTCCACCACAACCGCACCTACAACACCGACCACGACTGCGTCTCGGAATGTTCCCTCTCCAGCGCCAACTACCACCACACTGCGGACCGTTCCTTCCACAACCCCCTTCATCACCTCAACCAAATCAACAATTACTATCCCCGCAAGCATGGCTACAGTCTTGCAGACCATCCCCACCCCCATCAAGCCTATTATAAGTTACGAGAAACTAATTCCACTACCTCCTTCAGTTTACAACAATTTACCTCCACACAGGCACATCAAACGGACCAACAATCTCCTCACATCGCCAGCAAGCGACGATCACTTTGATCCCATCACAATACGGCGTAATTTCAACAGCATATGCGTGAGACAATTCTTGAATAACCAAAAGATCCACGAACTCAGTCGCGCTGACCCCACTTGGGCAGCCAGAACACTACTGAGAACTTCCGACATCGTGGCCACCCTGTCCGACGATGAACTTCTAGTTTCAAGATGCAGAAAAATCGAACCAAGCGAAGTATACTCCAACCACCAAATCAACGAAACCTGTTACCAACTACTACCTGTTCTCGTTGAAGACCAAATATGGTTCTCCGTCCCAGGAACAGGAGATTTGATTCGCACATCATCGGAAACCCCATGTCCATACATAAACAATCTGAATGGACAAGTGCAGCCTATGCTGCCTCCAAACATGTTCCTTAATGAAAACGCACAACCTTTTCTCTTCAACTCACCACCCATTTATCATCACATAATGCAAAACTATGCACCGACAATAAGACACCAAATCGACGCATTACAACAAGAGTACGCAGCAATGCAGAACCGCTTACAAAAACGAGGAATCATAGATGATGCTCTACTCAAAATCAACGATGTCAAGAACTCAATAGGCGAATCTCTTTCATCAATCTATGACAAAACCACTAACAAACTCACCGAAGGGATAGAAAATGTAAGATGGTCCCTTATATCCATATTATTATGGGTAACCGTACCAACCCTAACACTGGTAGTTTTAGTTGCTAGCTGCGTCTGCTGCGTAAAATTGTATTTTATACGAAAAGCATCTAATACGGCCGCTTCAGCTATGTTTGAACTAGCAAGCAATTTCACAACCAAAAAACGCGCCAGAAGCCGACCAGAAGTCAATGCACTCCTAGTAAGAGTACCCCCACAAGAACCTCTTTACATACCACGCATCTACGCAATACCGTTTTTGAACAATCACACTACAAATCCCTTACCATACGTCAGGATAACCTTAAATCACCTCTCGACACCCGCTCTAATTGACAGTGGCGCTACCATTTCCTATATGAAACAATCCACTCTTTACGCCCTAGGACCAAACATTCAAGTTGATAACAACCACGTCAAAGCGCAAGCAGCCAACGGTTCACCTATAGAACTTTTAGGTTCAATAAGCGTGAACGTAAACATAGGAACTCATACCGTACCTCATCGCTTCTTAGTGTCACACGACCACCAATGTCCCGCTCCAGTCCTTCTTGGTACAGACTTCATCAAAAAGTTAAACCAATCAGGTCTAAAAGTTACTATCGACCTACACAATAATGTCCTCACGATAGGTTCAGATGCACACAACATGATACAAATAAATGCCATCAATTTCTTAGAAGTAAACCCGCATGATGTACGCCTTTTACACACTACAATTCTTCCTAAAAGATCCTCCTCTATCGTGCCAGCTTTGGTTGACAACTACTCACCTAATAACCCGTTTGACTTCATCATAGAAGACAATCAAAGAGACATGGACCTTTTATACGCTGTAGGTAGATCTCTTGTCCGCCCATCAACCGACGGAATCTGCCTCATAAGCATACTCAACCCCTCCTACACCGACATCAAATTGTACGAACGAATGAGAGTAGCATACGCCAGCCCTATATCTTCCCCAGTAGAGCAAGTACTTGCCGTGCAAAGTGAATACATCCCTCCTGAAGCGAACTGGGAAGAAAGAATACCTCACTTTCCAACTCAGCCAGAAGCCAACTACGACATAGCGAAGGAAATAGATCTGACCAAATCTGCACTGACCGCAGAGCAAAAAGGGCAACTAGTCGGCATTATTCGACAACACTCGAAGGCATTTGTTGGACCAGACGGCCACTTAGGCCATTATAATGGACCTATTCAACACCGCATAGATCTGATAGACAATGCTCCTATACCAACCAGAAAGATCTATCGCGTTCCCCTCGAGAAGAGACTCGAGATAGAACAACAGATCACTCAAATGCTCAAAGATGGTATCATACGCGAATCGGCATCTCCCTTCTGCGCCCCTATAGTTCTAGTGCGCAAGAGAGATGCAACTTCATGCAGATTTACCATCGACTTCAGAGGATTAAATGCGATAACGAAGCCACAACAATCCATACTCCCGAACATCCAAGACATAATTGACTTATGCGCAAATAACTGCTTATATTCATCCCTCGACTTCCAGTAGGGTTTCCACCAAATCCCATTAGAAGAATCCCACTGTGAAAGGACCGCCTTTGCATGCTTCCTTGGGGCATTTGAATACATACGAATGCCCATGGGACTAAAAGGAGCCCCTGCCACTTTCCAACGGATTATGGATGACTTCAAGAAACATCTTAGAGCCCGCGTGTTTATCTACATCGACGACTTGATAATCACTTCAGAAACTCCTGATGAGCATCTCCTAGACATCGACGAAGTACTATCAAAAATCGAATTGATAGGAATGAAGCTCAAGGCATCAAAATGTGAATTTGCACACAAGGAAATCAAGTTCCTAGGATTTGTACTTAGCAAAGATGGTATAAAGCCAAACCCGGAAAAGACCAAAGCAATCGACGATTACCCAACTCCAAAGAACCCCACTGAAATCAAAGCGTTCTTAGGCATGTGCTCTTTCTTCCGCCGATTTGTGCACAACTTCGCCGCCATCGCTGCACCCCTAACCGGCCTGACAAAGAAAGACGCGCCTTTCATATGGACGATCGAATGTGAAAACGCTATGAAACGGCTCAAGGAAGCACTCACTACCGCTCCAATACTTGTGGCCCCCAGGCTAGGATTGCCTTTCGTCATTGAGACCGATAGCTCCGGGAAAGCAGTAGCTGGAGTTCTGAAACAAGAACAAGATAACAACCTGAAAGTAATCGCTTATGCCAGTCGAACTCTCAATGTGCATGAATCTCGCTACCCCGCCATCGAGTTAGAAGCGCTTGGAGTGGTATTTGCAGTGCAAAAGTTTCGCCCTTACATCGACGGCGCAAAGTGCACTGTAATTACAGACCATGCTGCCCTCAAAGCTCTTCTACATCGGAAAGATCTAACCGGAAGACTAGCGAAATATCAGATAATCCTACAGGAATTCGACATAACCATTATGTACAGACCAGGAAAAGCGAATGTCGTTTGTGACACTCTCTCCAGACATCCTCCGCAAGTAAATGCGGTACCCACCGAAAGCAATAACAACATTGACCTTTCGTCACCAGACATTATGGATAAAATCAAGGAAGAACAAAACAAAACCCCTTGGATAGCATCTTACAAACAAGCTATAGAACAGAATGAGCCAAATCCATACACCCGCGACTACATTCTGTTGAACGAAATCCTGTATAAGTTGCCGGAAAAGGTCTACCAGGATCCGCAAATAGTTCTCCCCGAAGACTCCAACATCAAAAATGCGCTCATCAAGCAGGTTCACGAATCTCGTTTTGGAACTGCACATCTAGGTATACAGAAAACGAGAGCAGCCATAAGCAGAATAGCCATATGGAACAGAATGTCAAGTGATATTAGCAACTTCATAAGATCTTGCACCATCTGCCAGCTACGGAAAGACCCCTCCGTCTACCGTACCAATGAACCGCTAGAGCGATTTGAAATACCCAGACGGCCTTTTCAACGCGTTCATTCCGATGTAATCGGACCCCTTCCACTAACCTTACAAGGAAATAAATTTATAATAGTCTTCGTAGATGCATTCTCTAAACTAGTTATTGCTGAGCCCATACCAGATCAGAAGGCCACCACCACAGCAAACGTGTTCGTTCACAGAGTAGTGAGCCGTTTTGGACCACCAGAAACACTGGTCACGGACCAAGGCTCAAACTTCATGAGTGACGTCTTCCGAAACACCCTCAAGATCCTTAACGTCTCCCATAAAACCAGCACTCCTTACCATCATGAAAGCAACGGCCAAGTTGAACGCGCAAACAAAACGATAGAAGAGCTCATCTCTACTGCGGTCACTCAAAAGGAAGACCAGTGGGATGACATCATCCATTTGATGACACATGCGTACAACACCGCAGAAAACGCATCCACAAAATATACACCGTTCTTCATCATACACGGCCGAGAAGCCAACAACGCTTTTCGCTTAGCGCTACAACTCCCTTCCAAGACCTATGTTAGCGAAGACGACTACGTCGACCAATTAACATCAACTCTACAAAACGTTTGGAAGGAAGTTGAACATAACTTAACCGTCACCCAAGACATACAAAAACACCATTACGATCTGAGAAGAAGAGTTAGCCCAAGTAACTTCCAGATAGGCCAACAAGTACTGATAAGGAAAGATGTAGGTTCGAAAATTGCACCTAAATTCTAAGGCCCTTTCCCAATTATTGATATTGAGCGTCCCAATGTAACTGTCCAAGACGGACGCCGTCTCCGTACAATTCACATGAACCGTTTGAAGCCATATAACGCTGCAACTCCTTGAATAGGAACCCAACGATGGGACTAGTAATCAACATAGAGTAATTAACAAGGAAACAACCATTCAAAATTCTCTGAAATAGTAACCCCATAACTTAGCCTATAGCAATTAGCAATACCAAAAGCAGAGCATAGTAATAGTAAAAAAAAAGAAAAAAAACATAAAAATAGACTAGGAATAGTGCTCAACGCTGCCATCCACATTTTGAGCATACCGTGACATTTTGATTGTAGCGTAGTCGCTACCCGAGCTAATTCAACGCGGCAAGGACCACTACCAGCACATATGTTAAATACAGAGCGTGAGGAGCAACCGCCGAAGCACTTCAGATGCCCTCATCACTCAACAACGATGATTCAAAGCTCTCAGAGCGAAAGAGGTCGCACAGCTCCTCATCCGAAGCATCGCAGGAGGATAATGACCGCTCTCCATCCCCCGCGTGGTCAATCAGTTCGGTCATGGAGAGGAGGGACAGGCTCACTACCCAGTGGATCCGAAACCCATCGCCACCTTCTCCAGCGAGAGAACCTCCGTTTGAGATCATTCACAATATTGATCAGCACTCACTTCGTAACCCCGAAACCACCACCGGCTCTGTAGCCAGACCACCTCAACTGGCCTTCAAAAGGCGTCGCCCAATCAAATTGGGCCCTTGCCATCTCTGCGGCGACCCACACTGGACCCGCAATTGCGAGACTACAATGCCGTTTAATATCCGCTGCCACATGCTTTTTGTAGCAAATAGGCTTTGCCCCATGTGCTTAGGCTTCCACGAGGAAAACTTCTGCGGTTATGACCTCCCTTGCGCACGCTGCGATAAAACGGACCACCCTACGGCCTTATGCCAGTTAGATCCTAAGCCGTCCGGGCATAAGTAAAAGTATCAACCCTTACATTGCAGATGTCCACCACACGTCCCGCTCCACCACAGCGTTTCAAACGGAGAAGATCTCCCTCCTCATGTTCCTCTAAATCTAACACCTCTCATCGTTCATTTTCTTCTTATTTTCCTCCATTTTCATCCTCTCGATCAGCTTCCCCAGAATTTTCCTCGAATCAATGTATGACTGTAACTGTAAACTCTCCGCCAATCTCCTCCTCCTCGTGCACTCGAATTGTTTCATCTCTACCTTCAACTAAAACTCTTATTAATCCCCCTTCAATGCATTCTAATAACATCTCTTCTATGAATAAGAATCTACCCAAAACCATTACCTTTTCCCCCTCTCGCCAGCGTCAGCGACTCAGGATTTTGCCAGCACCCACATCCGCACGCGACAACTTTCCTCGACACAGAGCGCCACTTCGCTCAGGCACACCGCCACCAAGACGTAGACTACCACGACCACAACAATTTAACCCGTGCCTCCTCTGCCACAACACTAATCACCTAACTATATACTGTCAAACTACCATGCCATTTAATGACAGAGTAATCAAGCTTTTTCTCATTAATCAGCTATGCCTCTACTGTCTAGGAACACACAATAGCATGCAATGTAATGCTCCGCATACTTGCGTTAGGTGCCAAAAAACAAACCACATCACCGCTTTGTGCCAACAAGACACCCACTTTTAGTAGTCCCGGGGACCGGGACATTCCGAAGCGGTAAGATGTAGGAAAAGCGCAAAATTCATCGAAGCGCCAGTCGGCCATCGACCGCCCGCCCCATCTTATCCGCCCGCGAAGAGGGTATAAAAAGAAATAAACCCCGCCCTCTCGAGCTCGCTCGTAGTTCAGCACGCCAGCTCCGGCTGGCCTCACAACCATCATGCTGAGGTGAGCCTCCACCCCCCCCCCCCCCTTATTCATTTACTTCCCTTTCTTTTAACTGTTCTCTCCATTCTTGTATCATCACTCTGTAATATAATCTCCGTGTCTCCTTTGTATTATCAGGTGATATATTCCAATATGTCTCTCTTGTATTTCGTGCCCTTTGCACCATGTCATGTTTATGTAATGATAAAATCTTAGTAATTACTTGTGTGCTATAGAGAGAAGGAGTCACTTAAAGAGAGGTCATATATGTAAGCGTTACTGGACAAAGTCGTCTTAACAAACATAAATCTTTTATTTTATTACAGAAGGAATAGGTGCAATAACAGCGTTTACGGAGAAAATTGAAAAACTCTTGATGGACTATGCCACAGATGTCTCAAGCTTGCAAGACTTGGACGAACAAGATGTAACCAGCTTCGAGGAGTATTCCGCAAAGGCGAAAGAAACTCTTGCCTCCGCATTTGACTACTTAGTACTCTTACAGTCACGCAGACAGGCATACACGGTATGCACGTCTCGTGCAAGGGAAGCAAGTAACACGACACTGGAAGCTGCGGAAGGAACTACCCCGGTACAACCAAGGTTGGGAAGCGAGCTCCCAGCATTGCCCATTCCAATATTCCGAGGGAATATATGGGAATGGGACAACTTTTGGGAACTCTTCAACACCAATGTCCATTCGCAGCAGATCCCCGACCTTTACAAATTCAATTATCTGAAGAATGCACTTCGCGGCGAGGCCTACCAGGCAATCGAAAAGTTTCAAGTAACACCAGAGAACTATTCGAAAGCAATCAAGTTCCTCCAGCACAAGTATGGAAATACGCAAGAACTGATTGCACGATTGCTTCATAAGCTTGAAAAAGCATCACTGAAATCATCTTCGATGAAGGACCAACGTTCTCTCTTTGAAGAACTGCAAGTGGTAATTGCCCAGCTAGCTCACAAAGGAGAACAAGTGGATAGCCAGTGGTGCATCAGAAAAATTCTCTCCAAGTTTCCAGCGTCTGTTCAGAGAAAAGTGCTACTGAAAAGAAGCACTTCCCTGGCGGAAGACTCATTTTCTATGAACAAACTGTTGGAGTTCTTGGAGGAAACAATTTCAAACGAAGAAATGGTGATGCTCTATTTGGAAAGAACCGGGAAAGAACAGAGCATCAAACCACCCTTCGTCAAAAAGGATCTCCCAATGCGGCCAAACAGGTGCATGTATTGTGGGGAAGACCATAAAGCTATGGATTGCAACAGGTATAAAAACCCACAAGAAAGATCGAAATACCTGAGAGAGCACGGGCTTTGTCTCATCTGTGCGTCAGCACAACACCAAACTTCACAATGCAAAAAGCGTAACTGCTTTAAGTGTCAAGGTGCACACCACACATCATGCTGCTTCAAGCTAACCAATAACGCTACAAATCAGCCAGAAAAGGCAGGTCCAAATAAGAAGCGACTGAAAGAAGAACCGAAAAAAGCAAGACCTCAACGAGTGAACCATGTGACCTCCGAGGAAGCGGAAACTAGAGAGACCGCCATACTGCAAGTTCATTCAATGCCTCAACCTTTGGAAGAAACTTTCCTTCCTACAGGGGAGTTAACAGTTCTCGATCCGAAGAGCAACTCCTTGAGAAAGGTTACAGTACTACTAGATTCAGGAGCAGAAATCTCATTCATAGATGGAGCACTCGCTGAGGAATTACAACTCCCAACGATGGGGAAGGCCAAACTCCACTTACACACTTTTGGTTCGAATCAAGTATCTATGAAGGACTGTCGAAAAGTGATGTTGAAAGCTTGGGATGATGAAGGTCAGCAATGCTTATTGAGCCTGCTCACTCATGACATCCTCACAAAAGCATTCACATCACCCGAACTCCAAGATAGAGACATTCAGTTTATCAAACAACAAGGTCTACATGTCAATGAGTCTAAAAAGCCCGTAAAACCAGAGATTCTTCTGGGAGCTGACCAGCTGTGGTCACTTGTACGACCGAATACAAGCCACATCCGTCTTCCTTCTGGGCTCTATTTGCTATCCACCAGGATGGGATACCTTTTCACAGGTCAAGCAAAAAGGACACCAACGATAGGTGAAAGACTGGAGCAAGAAGAAGAAAGGTGGAATGGCTACTGGAGTCTACAAGCACAAGTCAACACAATAGAGGCAGTGACAGAGGAGAAAGAAAGTGAACAAGAACTTTGGGAAAGTTTCTGGAAAATGGATGCTGCCGGAACAGAAGAATTTGGAAGGGCTGAAAAAGAACAACAGGCGATCGTTGACCAGCAAGTGTGGGAGAACTTCCAAAGGACAGTGGAAAAGCGGCAAGACGGTTACTATGTGCGATTGCCATGGAAAGACCTTCAAATAGAGTTACCGGATAACAAGGCCATCGCACATAGAAGACTGACAAGTTTATGGAATTCGCTGCAGAAAGACGAAAACCTACTGGACCAATATAATGAAGTTTTCCAAGAGCAGCTTCGTCTGAATATATTGGAGGAGGTAAATGAAAAATCACTACCTGGTACACGAATTCATTATATTCCGCACCAGGCGGTGATAACACCACACAAGTCAACGACGAAGCTACGCATCGTTTACGATGCATCAGCCCATTACAGGGGATCTCCTTCACTGAATGATGTCCTACATCGAGGGCCGGTAATTTTACCGCTCCTATACGGAATTCTCCTGAGATTCCGAGTAGGACACATCGCATTGATATCGGATGTGGAAAAGGCATTTCTTCAAGTGCGACTTCACGAAGAAGATCGCGATGCCACTCGGTGCCTTTGGTTGAGGAACCACAAACAAGCACCTAGCCCAAGTAATATCCGAATTCTGCGGTTCACTCGAGTTACTTTTGGACTTATGCCATCTCCTTTCCTCTTGGCAGCTACGACACATTACCATCTCGATCAATACAAAAACAGCAAGCTAGTGAAGGAAATGAAAGAAAACTTGTACGTGGAAAATCTCATTTTATCCACAGATCAGAAGGAAGAGGCGGTCGAGTTGTACCGCACCACTAGAAGGATGTTCCAAGATCTTAACATGAACCTCCGGGAGTTCGTTTCTAACAATAAGGAAACAATGCAAGTAATAGCCCTCGAAGACAAGTCCTTGGAACTATCACCAAAAGTGCTAGGGATAAAATGGAATTCAATTGAAGACGCACTAGAGATCAGATGTCGGATGAAAAACAGCACTAACACTACAAAACGTAGTGTTGCAAGTACCATAGCCTCCGTCTATGACCCAATGGGTTATATGACACCCTTGCTCCACAGAGCCAAGGTCTTTCTTCGCTCCCTATGGCAGCGTCAACATCAAGAGGCGATTGATCGATTGGAAGGCGAGATAATGCGACAGAAAAAAGACATGGAAAAGCTTCGCGCGGAAAAGGAGCAAGTCGAACAACAGTTGGAGCAAGCAAACAGATCAAGGGAAAGTCACAGCCCGTCTCAAGTACCTACGGCTAAATACCAAAGGACCGAGAAATCAGAGGAAAAGCTGTCAAGTGATGAAAGGCAGCGAGAGAAAGAACTTCACAGTCAGTCTCAGGAACACACGGCTAAATACCAAAGGATCGACAGATCAGGAGAAAAGCTGTCAAGTGATGCACAGCGAGAGAAAGAACGTCACAGGATATCGCAGGAACCTGCTGCTAAGGCCCAAAGGACCGACAGGCCAGAGACCTCGAGGGCCTGGGAGGACAGACTTGAAAGAGACATAATCGAAATGGAGAGAGTCTTGCAGGATTTCCCTCATCGAAAAATCGGACAAGTAAACCATGGCGGCAAAGGAATCAAGTGCGCCTTCTGTGATGCAACAAGTCAGCATTTCTCTGACTCCTGCCCCAAATATGTGGAGGAAGACGAAAGATGGGAGATTATTCGACGGAAGGAACTTTGCCGCTACTGCTTAGAGAACTGTCCACCACAAAAAGAGTGCCTCTACGCCAGAAGAGAATGCTGGTACTGCAAGCGTCTAAAGGGATCTATTTTCGAAGATCTCATCCCACGCGGCAGCACACACCATCGAGCCCTTTGTAACGTACCAGACATGAAGGCACGAGCGAAGCAAAGAATCCTTGATGCCAGAAGAGCTCTGAAAGATGGCCGCAGGACGAAACATTAGCCACCCCGGGAGTGTCGTCAACGACGACCAAGTGATCCATAATCAATGTATATAATTAAGATATATTTGTCGATTGTTTAGCCGATGTATCAAGTATTTGTCCATGTATTTTTGATTTTGTTCTTTGAAATCGTACATTTCTCAAGTATGCGTTGTTTTGCTTTTGTAACGTTTATCATATCATCTATGTTTCTTTTCGCTTGAAATATATTTTGAGATTCAACTTTTATCTGATATTCACTTGTATAAATAGAGCTCACACTGCCGTAAGATCATGCTTCCTCAAGTTCCTCAAGGACCTCAAGCTCAAGCTCAAGCTCAAGATCAAGTTCAAGCTCAAGTCTTTCGAAGAAGGAAGAACTTCGGAGTGTGAGCAGGAAGAAAGAAGACTGTATGTAAAGAATTGAACAATAAACCTATTTGTGAGCCCGTTTCCAACCACAGCTTATAGTCCCGCGTGGCAACGAGCAAGTAAAGCACAAGTCCTAGTCTAGGCGAAGAAAAAGAAAACTCTTCTCTACACATAATCTATTGTTTCCATATACGCTGGTTGACATAAAAAAACCATCACAGTGAAAATGACGTTTAAAAATCTACTCACAGTTGCTAGTCAGTGCAGCAACGGAGTGCGACAGATTTCGCCCCATCAAGATTAGCAATGATTCGCTTTCACATTTCAAACATATCTATTTTACAAGGAATCATGGTCAACCCCGCAAATCGCGCGAATTCCGCGGAAGATACCGGATCATTTTGCCTTCACTGTATCATGTTCCATTGACGAAGTTATATTATAAAATCAAGATAGCATACTATGCTGGCAGCTTACTGCAACATGTACAGAGAAATGTCTTTGAAAAAGGTAAAGGTATACAGCTGATATTTATGAATATAAGCCTTCATACTTTTGCAAAATTTTGAGTCACAACTGCACTAATGCTTTCGTATTTCTTTTGGCTCTCTTCTTGCCTATGCTACGCTTCCAGCAGGGAAAAGTAGGTTCCAACTACTGTTAGCTGGAAGAAAATTTAGAACAAATGTTCATCAGGAGTTGCTTTGGTGCGTGTCTTTTCCGAATTCTGGTTTGGATCAAAATAAAACCTCGTCCAAAAATATTGATTTTAAGTTTACCCAATGTGTAGGCGGATTCATTAGCGACACACGCCACTTGATTCACTCTACCGCTCGTTCCACCCCATCCACTTCGCTACTGTCATAGCAGTGAATTGACCAATAGGGAAGCGGAAGAAGTCTATCAAGTGGATTAAGTGGAAATCCACGTCGCTATTGGTTAGTTCACTGTTTTGACCAACAGCGAAGTGGATCAAATTCAAATAGGTGCATGCCACTCAAAGTCAATCTAAAAGCTAGAACATAGAGTGTAATCCACTTTGACACCTCGTGTAAATGCAACATTTATGAATTGCTTGAGCATGCAGTAAGAAGCAAAAGTCCCCAAATTTCATGATTTCTTACAACACTCAATCTTTTTCCTCCAATTCGAGGTAAAGTCAATTCTACTATCTTTACTTCTCACAAAAATCCAACTCCTTTAGTTGTGCTACAAATTTCCATTCATAGTTTCTATCGGCACCACGAATATCTCTTTCCAGATGGAGTGCCATATGTTAGAATCATAATAATTAAGACTCCAGTAAGTTGAAACCAGGGCTCGGCACGAGGTGGCTTACAAGCAAGCTGGATATCGTTTTTGGGACGAAAAGCAAAGGGGGTTTCGTTTTTGTGACCGAAGAGACACGGAAAATTAGCGACGGCGACCTTTTTTTTTAGTCGACGTTTCGTTTTTTGGAGGATTTTGGGGAATTTTTCAGGTTTTTAGAGGAAATTTGGTTGAGGGTCAAAGGGGACTTCGTAAAAATTCCCAAAAGTCAAGGGGGACTTCGTTTTTTCCATTTTCATCTAGCCACCTCGTGCCGAGCCCTGGTTGAAACACATTAATTCCTCCCTCTCCCCCCCCCAAAAAAACGGTTCAATGAGTGCCATAAATAATCTGTGACATGATGCAGTTCTGAAATAATGTAATTCTGGAAGTTTATTCGGTTATGAGTTTATTTGGTAATGAGGACTTTGTAGATTCGCAAGGAAAGAAGTTGGACACTGTTGGTTAGTGAGTGTGGATATGTAATAATATATTAGGCCAATTACATTGCTTTCTCCAAAGGGGCGCCACATTTGATGGAACAAAGATTTCTGAGAGATCATGGCAGCATTCGATGGAGCATTTCAACTCTTTCAAGGGTTGTAGCTTTATTGCAGCACAATAAATGAGCTCTTGAAAAGCCACCAAAATCTGCAAGCCACGCTTTTTGAGATAGTCTAGTTACGCAGTTATTTCAAAATTTTCATACTAATCCTTCCGGAGTCTAAGTAAGGAGTGAATAGAGCAAACCTTATAAGATGCAAAACAGTTTCCTCTCTTTTCCAGAGCTCGTCATACTTTTTTTATAGAATTTTAACTGATGCTACCTATTTTTATACTTGGTCAAGTAAAACCTCATAGAATATTTGGGCGCTATTTGATGCAGCTTTCTCTCCTCTATCTAGTAGTTTTTTTTTTGTTTCCGCTTCCTAGAGTCCTCAGGGATAAAATCATCACAGTTCATGTTTTAAAAGCGCCCCAGGTTGTACCCGAAAGATTCGAAATTGGATATTACGATTGCGTAAACTCTTATCTGCTTTGTAAAATTAACGTTAAATCATAATGTTATCCTGGAAGTTTTAAATCGCGATTGGTGTTTAGTGCGTTTGCGTCTGACGTAGGCCTGCTAAAATGCGATGGTTTTAATAGAGTTTTAAAGATATGGAGAAAAGGAGAAAAAAGCTGTGCAGTTTCTGAGAGGGTTCGCTTTATCCGCCTGTTACTGAAAGTCCTTTGGAGAGTTGATATGAAAAGTCAGAAAGGTTGTGAAAGTTGGGCATCTCAAAAAGCATGGATAGCAGATTTCGGTGATTCTTCAAGAGCTCATTCATAATGCCGCACGAATTTATAAGCATTGAGAAGAGAATGAATGCTGCATCGAATGCCGTCAAGATCTCTCAGAAATCTTTGTTTCACCAAATGTGGCGCCGCTTTGAAAAAAGCGAAAATACATTCGGAAACACCTAATACATCATCCGCTTGCATATATTACAACAAAACATCGATAAGTGCTAAGAAATCTTCAAACTTCTTGCCCCTTTCCATACAAGAATGATGCAATGCCAAAAAATGGTTTCATATTGTTTAACAGAAAGAAAATGACTTTATTCCACCCTGTAGCAATGAGGAGAAGCCGGAAAACAAAAAAGAACGTGATAATAGCATTAACCAAAACCTATGACTCTTGCGCATAAACAATGATCATCTATCAAGGCAAAACAATTGCGCTAATAAATTCTATCTCCACTTTTAGAAAGAATAGATAAAGTGGTGAATATTTCCAATGGACATCTTTGTAACATCATTGTTGTTTCGATTTGCCAAGGACAACAGTTAGTTTGAATTTAGGCATCCACAGTTCTGTCACCATGTGAGTCCCAATATAGCGCCAGCACAGCGCTGGCACGGAGACGGTGCACGAAGAATTCTGAACGCAGGCCTATTCTCCTTCGATGCTCAATTTTTCAAAAGATGAAGATCCGAGCCAAATAGGTTTTCAAGATTCAGATTAATGTTTTTTTGGCGCAGGATTTTCAGTACAATTTACTATCTACATACTTTACATGTGACAATGTAAAAAAAAATAGGCTTACCCAACTTTTTAGCGAAAATAATTCACCATTTAGTAAGCGTTAGAACTGGAAAGAAGTCCTCTTTCAGAAATGATAGGAAAACGACTACAGGTCATTCACACAGAAGTAAAGAAGACAATGCTTACATCATGACTTTTATGATTACTGTCTGGAAGCATCTTTGAATTTATTCTCAATTATTCATGTTATCACCTCCTCATGATAATTTTAACGACATTGCATTAGCCTTTGAACCTTTTCTGACTTTTGTACTCAACCTTTGTCAACAAGTTCGCAGATCAAGTGAACAGAAGAAGAGTTAGCGTTTATACCAAAACGATGTGGTGCCAAAAAGAAATGGATACTTTTAAGATGCTTACAAAACATTTATGGTAATGTGAAGTGAGATGGCCATTGTTTTGCAAACATGGACAAACTCTATATATGTGCTTTCTTCAGCTGGAGCCAACAAGCAATGCTGTTTGCTGCCATTTTCCTCTCATTGCCAAGTTTTCTCTTGGCTTGTGCTACGCTTCCGCCGGGGCGAGGTAAGCTCTTCTTTATGATGCCATATCCAAAGCTATTCTCTTTATGCTAAATCAAAAATCATTTTTCCTGCAGTGGATTATTTTGTCTATTTTCGCAACTAGAATCGAACAGAACCTAATGGCGAAAGTATGACTTTCATAGAATTGGAAAGATAAGTAGTGATGTTACCGAAAATGGATTTGAAGTAGTTATAATTATAGCGGTTCCCTTTTCCACATCCAATGTGACAATTTAGAAGTTGTACTTGACAGACCTGCCCGCACTTACGGTGCGTTCAGAATTGCCCACGTGCGCCAGCGCCATGCCGGATTCAGCCGCAGCGAGCTCGATCGATTGATCTCGACCTCGGGCATGGCGCTGACCGCTGGAACGGCAATAGCACGAGCAAATCTGGACGCGTCTCAGGGGTGGAGGACTATATGTCGCCGAATTTGGAGCCCGCGCGGATTCCCTGCAGGAACGCTTGTCCGCGCATGTACAAGGATGCGTATTTGTCGCAAATGACCGCGGGGACCGCCCTTTTTCGGCGACATATAGTCCTCTACCCCGCATCTCAGTAATATGAGGATGTTACTGTGCTTCTGATGTTTGATTCTTTTCTCACTAAAAACATCTTCAATGCGCCCAGTAGAACAGATGGTACTTAATTGCTGATTCGAAAAAAAAAACACCTCATTTTTGCAGAGGAAAACCTCTCGGGTATCTTACAATATTGCAGAAAGAAGAGAAACTCTCAATGTGGTAATGGACCAGCTTCCCGCAGAGTTCGCCCACGGCAGGGCACCTGGCGTATCCGGGAACAATAATGCGGTAGTACAAAGGATTCAATCAGCAGTTAACAGAGCGGTAGGACTCAAATATACTGTGATTAGTTGAAATTCATCGTATTTCAGTTATGGGAAGTAATCAAATATGAAGCCGCGAGACGCGGAATTTCAGAGAGAGCAATCCCCGCGAATGCGGCCACAGCGAGTGTCTCATACTCAGGCTTGTACTGCGCAGGACCATTAAGCATTCGCAAGCAACAAGGAGATTCAAAGTGTGAAGGTACTCTCTCTGTCGATTACATAGCATCTGATCCATGACGAAGGCGGTCACCCAAATAAGCTGAGCGTGGGCTACACTGCCGCGCGCGGGCGATCTAAGCATGGAGCGCGCGCATGCGCACAGAACGAGACATACAGGGGAAAAGTGATCAGAGGACTAATTGCATGCGAAAAATTAAAGAAAGAAGGACATAAGAAGGAGTAACAATGTACGCACCAATACAAGCGTATTCATACATTGGTGAATGATGATTGTATTCGTGCATAGAAAAATGCTGACAAGACATGTGTAGTGGGTGGAGTTTGGGGATAGTGGCTTACCTCCAAATGAGAGTATTGAGGAAAGTTTGCATATAGAAAAATACGGCTTAGAATACGAGAAAAGCAGTGTTTGGACCTCAAGGCGATCTGTTAGCTATTGCGTCACGCGCTCCATACATAACATTTTGCCCGCGCGCCGTTTGCGCGGCGCGTCAATCTCGCATGGGCTCAATTCCCTTCGGTGACCCCCTGGATCAGGCAACACGCTATTTCGTACGCGTACATAGTGCCAACGGTTTTGCGTGCGGACCTCCAATCGATGAGACCAACTTGTATGCACAAGTCATACAAAATGGCGTGAAGCTCTACGTGCCTATTGCGCCAACAAATTTTAGAATGAGCTTTGAATAAAAACTCTTTATTTTGGGGGCCCTTCTACACCACTCCGTCTTGAAGCTTTTCGCTTATTCTTTATGGAAAAACGACAGTCACCCGATTCATGTGACATCACCAACGTGGTCATATATCGCTTCATAGTAGAAGAATTCCTGAATCAACTGCATCATTCGACTCAGCTCGGCGCGGCGCATCTTCCGATATTTAGAAGAGCCGCTTGGACACAATAGGAGGTCACAATCTATGAAATGATCTAGATTTTTGCTTAAGCTAGGTTACTCAATGTGCTTATTCAATTCACTCACTGGGCAACCTTATGCAAAAATCTGAAACGCTTCGTAGAATGTCGCCTTTTACTGTGCCCAAACAGGCACCACTATTTATCAGAAGATAAGCCGCGCCAAGCTGAGTCCAATAGTTCTGAGCACTGCAAAGCATGCTAATGCACTTCTTTTGAAAACTACAATCAAGCTCAGGTTGTGAACAACAACGTATTCCATGTGTAAGAAAACTAAAGTTTCCTTTTCTTCTCTTTGTGAGGAGGCCCGTCTCAGTCGTCTCCAACGGGAGTTGGGCTCTCACTTAACCGATCGCTGCCACGGCGCTTATATTTAGCGGAAGGGGTGCGGAAGGGCCGTCTTTCGCGTATTTTCAATCATTAATCATCTTCTATTCATCATTTTCAGCTGGTGGTAACTGTTGCGAGGTGTCAAATGGGATTGTCACGGCTATAGTGAGTCCAGGGGCAGATGACACCAGTTCGGTTCCGTCACAATACAAGCGGGGCAAAGTTTATCTTACGGTGAATTTTTGTTGCTACAACATTGCATTCAAACAGAGTGACTGCCACGATAAGTGGCAAAAACTTTGCTTGTCCTAACAGCTAATTCAAAGTTTACATTTTCATATAGAACTTGAAGAAAAGTGCGATATTTGGTATACAGTATGACGCCAAGAGGCTTCACCCTTGCATAGTTGACACAAGCGCTACTATGTGCAGAAAGGACCTACCTTTCCGCGAAGTAACCTCCTATGACCGCTAATTGCAATAGCAATAAGTCAATTTTGAACAACCCTCAAGCTTGCATTATCAAACGTTGTCATTATTTGAACAAAGAACCTACATATAGAGAATCGTTGTGAAAATTCAGAAGTGAAATTGCGGGGAACCGCGCAGCTCCCGCAGCGAACGCTCCTGCGAATCTAGCACCTTTAGGTTACTGACTAGTGTTTGAAAAGAAGAGTTCCTTATGTGTGTTGATTGAAATGGGTGCAAATTTCTTTTTGTTTCTGGAAGAAACTCGCTTTCAGAATATGATATCCAAGAAAATGCTGATGAAGTGGTCAAGGCCATGTTGCATGAATTAAAACTTAAAATTTCCAGGTGTATTCCATTAAATGGAATCTATTTTCTGAATTGCTTACTAAATTATTCCTCATGAAACGCTTATGTGTTAACTGATGTCTATAATCTCGCTTTGAAACGAAAGCTCACCAAATTTGACAAAAAGCTTGGCGAAAGGTTAGTCTCCTTAGCTGGTTCCAGCTCCGTTCCAGCATCGTGCTGGCGCTTGGAACGTGGAGATTGGGGCGTGCAAAGCGTATTCCGGCACGGCGCTAGGACTGCTCTGAAACAGCGTCAGCAGCACCTCTGCGTGCTGCCTAAGCTTTGCTTTTTTTTCTCGAGTGTGAGTTTTGATCGTAGTCGTTTCAATCTTTGATATGAATATTTTCAGATAGCAAGTGTTTACATAGCCCGGCTACAGGGAAATGATTGGGTAAATCTGGTGAGAAATGTCGAGAATAGACTGAGAGGCAACGGTGGCGGCTTCAGCCACATCCGTCTAACCTGGTGATATCAGCTTTTTTGTGTATCCTTTGCGAAGGATCATGCAATAAAGCATTTCAGCAATACATTATCAAAACGTTCACACCAATCAATTGATAGAATCTGTCATTTCAAATCAGAGGGCATTCGTTTCAAAGTTATTATCCCCCTTTTGGGTCGTATGCTCCCAAATCGTAATGCTCCCGGAGAATTTTGGAACTTTATTCAGCACTTTTAAAGGCTGGAGAAGATATCGAAATTGGTGGCAGAATAATAATCATTACAATTCTTGGTCTTGTACGGCATCACGCTAGCTTCGAAAGGTCAACATCATAGTACTCGCGAAAAACTGTACAGTTTGTTCCAAAAATGTATCGAACACTTGGTCTCTGACAATTTCCTCATATGGAAAGCTTTCATCTGTTTCTGAAGGCATATTGTAGAGCTGGCAAGAACTTAGATTTACAGCTGAAGCAAATCAGCAATTTTTCTTCATATTATTTTTCATTTATTTATTTATTGGTACACTCAATGTGCACAGAAAATAAAACTCGAACTAACGCGGTACCAGGCACAGAACCCCGAAATTAAATGAAAGGAGAAAAACAGTACAGTAGTACAGTTAAAAATCAAAACGCTGCAAATTACTTGAATATTGCTGTAGGATTACGGTAAGAAGAAAAGAAACCCAGTCTACAGCATCATTTGAATCAGCTATACATTAGAAAATTCCAAAAAATTTAAATTGTGTACAAGATTCTTATGCGCGTTGATTTCATTACCCAGTTACAAATTCGCAATTTTTAAATGGTGTAAGCACAATTCTGGAAGCATTGTAACCGGCTATTGCGGGTTTTGGCACAATTTGGGAAGTTTTACGGTAAAGTGCAAAGTTCATATTCAATTTCATCGGCTCCGCTCTCTTCGTAATCCCTATTGTAGTTATTACAGCAATGAAAAGCGGCAGGCGTTCGCTCCAAACTCTACAACCAAGTTGAAGCCACCTCTAAAACATGATGTTTCAAAAAGCCGCGAAATCTTCCCATATAAACGTTCTGAATTTTCTTGGGACACCCTTACGCGTGTGAATCGCAAATATGACATCCATTTCGTTCATTGGTGTCTTGTAGTCTCACAACGAGAAGGGAAACAGGATTCTCCCAAAAATCAAGGAAGTAAGTCAAAATCATCGCTGCAAAATGTTATATTTTCAATCAGCATGCTAATGAACCTTGATTATATGAAATTTGACTTACTTAGGATGGAAAATATCATATCATCATAAATAGAATTGATAAAATCTAGGAACTTTCTTAGCTGGCATGATCCTGCCCTTTCCGTATTACTTGTGCATGTGCACTCAATCCAAAAAGTTTCCATCTGCATGATCTCTCTCCAAATTAAATCTACCGTGACATCATTGTACATTTTCTCGACAGGACCAGTTGGGTTAAGCTCCGCCTAAACGTCGCCAAAAATCTGCTCAAACTCCGCCAAGGTCCGTAGTAAACTGCAGTGTTACATTCATTATGCTCTACCTACAGGTGTGTTGTTGCGCATATTTTGAGCAAAAAAGATGAAACAAGCGCTCACTTTGTGCGTGAAAATATATGATGAGGAACAGTACTCCATGCCGATCTTATGCTGGTAGTTTGACTTTACCCTGGAATTTCCGTGGGCAGTCTCGTGCAGCAAACTGGCTGTGCATAGCATGGATAGCAAACTATGAAAACTTTGAATCACCATCCACCCAAATCGAGGATGTAGATTTTGGCTGTTAGATAGAAGAGCCCCTAACTAAGTGATCGCCCAGCACTGCAGAAGATCAACTCCGCAATTAGAAAATGGCCTGTAAGGTACAAGTAGTCCTGGAAAACCTGCCCATCAACATGGATGGTCTGAAGTTAATAGGTGCAAATATGGTCATCAGAGTAGATAGGAACGTCGAAAATTTGATAATCGTGACGAGGAGACGACTTGTGACAATTCTAAACATCAGGGTGCATTAACCTATTGCAGTAGAGCATGGTGATCACTCAGTTAGGAGCTCTACTATTATACAGCATCAAAATCACATTGTTTTTGATTTGGGTGGACGGTGCTTTGCTTCATCTTTAGACTTCCGCGAAAAGTAAGATTTCATGAAAGCGCAAATTGAAGGTTGATTAGACAATAGCTTCATAAGGGTTTCCTAGAACCAGAATATTTTCTTGCACTCAAGATAATTTCAGATAATTTTCAAAGTGTAAAACATACTCTAGTTAAGGTCTTTCACATGTTCAAGAAAAGTACCTATTTTTTAGCTCACAAACCAATACATTTACCCTCTTATGATTTATGTTTAAATGTTGATATAGCTTCTTAGCTGATCTGAAAGCTTATGTATTTAACTTTAACTCCCCCCCCCCCCCCACTGCTTACAAACATGAACGCTGAGGGAAAACTGAATTTGCTGTTGGATCAAACTCACATTAATTATCCGCAAAGTTCGACTATTAGGTTTTGAAACACTTTGTGACGTCCTCATAAGCCCGAACAGAGTGACGACATGGTCGTAAAAGTGTTTATTCGTTATAGGATGGGTGTCACAGCTCCAGTGGCTCAGATCTTTTTGCTCTCATTCCCTAACCTTGCGCTGCGTTGTTTCTTGGGGCATTTTCTTCATTTTTATATCATCGCTCACAGTGAAAACAGGAAGAAATCCGCGACGTAAGGTCCGAGTGGTCTGCTGACCAAACAGTCATCAGCTGTTTGGGTGAGCAAGTTCAATTCTGCATTTATCTTTGTAGCTTTTGATTTACTAATCACTGAACGTTTCTGAGTTTCATGCGGTTTTTGGAATAGATCACCTATGCATTTGACAATTTCAGACCCTGAAAAGGCGATATAGCCGAAATCAGTCAATAAAGAAGTTACTAATCCCGCGTGCAGCTCAAGCAGTCTCAAGAAGCAATCAAACAATGCCGAGATTGAGTGAGGATCTTGTAAAGTGCGGTTCATAATTATACGAACACCCCAAATTTTGGAAGTTCTTGGACTTTTTGACAGAAACTCAAAAAGCCGTTGGTACCTCGCGAAAGAGCACAGCCGAAAACGGCATATGATCCATAAGAATGGAAATTGATGTAAATCTTAGAAGTGTCTTTGCGCCTAATGCAAATTTTTAGCGGTTCATAATTATACGAACACCTCAAAAAAGGTCCATTTTTCATTCAAGTTTGCAGTCATTTGAGTCCAAATTTTTTTGTAGAGTTACAGTAACAAAGTCTGACATATCTGCTACACACTGAACCCAGTGCAGTTCAAAAAAAGGACCGTTACTTTTTTCAGAGGGCTCGAAATGCTTTTGGAGTGATTACGCTTCAAAAACATCCGTTCTTCTGTGGTTTACGCACTCTGATTAGCTTCTACCAAAGCTATGAGATAAAATAAGTTCTTTCGATAGGTATTTTGCTTGACGCTTGGAAAATCTTTGCGTTTTCGTGTCGTTTTTCAACCAAGTTCCAACCTTACCACAGAATTAGCACGATTTTGAGCCTCAAAACTCAGCTTCTGAAGCCGTACAATGAAGTAAGCACATAGTATGTGAAAGTTCACAAGAATGCATATTTGGTTAGACAAAATCAGCAGCGCTGAGCGTTTGTTTGGGCCACGCAGACGTCATTTCACCAAAAACACTGTTTTTATTATTGCAGTCATACCTTTATTTGGTTTTTAGCTCCATAGCCTCAAGATCAGTTCCATAAAAAACCCAAAAACTTTGGCACAGAAACACCATCACGCAAATAATGCAGCGGCTTCATATCAAATGTTTGCGCAAGAGAGAAGCTGAGTTTTGAGGCTCAAAATCGTGCTAACTCTGTGGTAAGGTTGGAACTTGGTTGAAAAACGACACGAAAACGCAACGATTTTCCAAATGTCAAACAAAATACCTATCGAAAAAGCTTATTTTATCTCATAGCTTTGGTAGAAGCTAACCAGAGTGCGTAAACCACAGAAGAACGGATGTTTTGAAGCGTAATCACTCCAAAAGCATTTGGAGCCTTCTGAAAAAAGTAACGGTCCTCTTTTTGAACTGCACTGGGTTCAGTGTGTAGCAGAATGTCAGACTTTGTTACTGTAACTCTACAAAAAAATTTAGACTCAAATGACTGCAAACTTGAATGAAAAATGGACCTTTGTTTGAGGTGTTCGTATAATTATGAACCGCTAAAAATTTGCATTAGGCGCAAAAACACTTCTAAGATTTATATCAATTTCCATTCTTATGGATCATATACCGTTTTCGGCTGTGCTCTTTCGCGTGGTACCAACGGCTTTTTGTATTTCTCGCAAAAAGTCCAAAAACTTACAAAATTTTGGGTGTTCGTATAATTATGAACCGCACTTTATAAATCATGGACGATATTGTAGTCGGATGGAATTTGATTTGAGCAGAGCAAAAGGCTGCACCTAAAACGAAATCAGGTGTTCCGATACTACGATCGGATGTGGCACTGAAGTCGCCGAACAACCAGTTAAATTCTTACATATAAAACTGAATGTCTGTTTCTCTGATTATCTGTCTTTGTCTGTACGTATGGACAGAAATTTTTTCTAACCGATCCGGACCAAACATTGCATAGATAAACTTTGCACACATATTAGATTGGAAACTAAGTTTTGCAACTGCTTTCATAACTTAACTCTCTTTGTACGTGTTGCACTCAAACTTGGACTGTATGTGGATGTCAATGTGTGCTGCAACGCTGCATAGACTGTTTAATTTTTGAAGTCGAAAGAAAAAATTACAAGCCTTTTTCCAAAAATAGTAAATTCGAGGATTTAAGTTTTTGAGCAAAAATGAAGCCGTTCGCGACTCAAACATGCATAATGATCCGAAATTATATATGAATTATTGAAGTTGACTCATTTGGTTCAGTGGGAAAGGAATAAATCTGAAAGACAAGTCGAATTCTAGCGCCTTTACGAAGTTGAAGAACATAAGGCTGTCAAGTACAACCATCAATGACTAAGGAGTGTGAACTT